AGATCTTGTTCCAAGGTAGTTCTCTTGCATCAGACACTTCATCTTAGATGTAAAACATCTGGTTGCACATGTGCACAAACTGAAAAGGAAATAAATATGTTAAAACCCCCCAAACTAAGTTATTGCCCACTCTTTTTATCACTGAATTTTGACCCTGGCAGCTAGAATGTAAAAAAAAGTTAAATACGGTTTCAGGACATTCTAATTTTCATCTATAAAAGCAATTCTGGCAGTCTGATGACTATATTTTTTAAACTAAAATATACAAGAATTATAAAAAATTACAAGAATTTGGTCTTGCTTGAGCAGGGGTTTTGGTCCGGATGGTCTTTAGAGGTCCCTTCCACCCTCAACCATTCTGTGATAAAGTTAGACATTTTTTCCAGCTGTGTAAGCCAACATATATCCTGACGGATCCCTGTTTCCTCTGGAGATGAATAAGTAAACAATATACGTTTTAACCTAAGGGGGATATTTGATAGCTACCTATCAGGGGTTGCCACAAATATTTCCAGTGATCCACTTTTTAAGTGAGATTTGTCTTTTAGCATAGTAAGCAGAAAAAAACCTTCCTTAAAATACCTCAGAAAACAGTATGAAAGAATGAGTTTGAGGATTGGGAATGTAATCATCCTGGTGTTTCAACAAGGGAAGTTTTTCTAGTTCATCATGCTGTGACTTTTTCAGTTAATTTTTTAATGGCCCAGTTCCTAACCTTTTTTCTTTGCTTCCTGTGTTGTTTTTTTAGAAAGAGTGCTGCCACTTCTTTCCTGTAATCCTGCATGAAGTGTGGGTGGGGTGGGCAGAGGCTCTTTGCTGGGAAAGATGGCTGGATCCTGAGAACCCTGCTCTAGGTGGGAGAGAAATCAAAGCAGAGGAAAGCAAGCTGCAAGGAGGAGTATTTTGCTAGAATGTGGACTTTGTTTTGATTCAATTATATTAACATTCAATTAATGTTAATAAAAATGTGAGATGAATGTCAAACCCAGCTAATGGATTGGGTTCCATGCGTTAATTGACAAACAGCTTATTTCTTCTTCCTTTTTTTTTTTTAACTTGATGATTGCATGGCAAATGCATTTCTTTTAAGTAACTGTCTCTGGTTTCCATGGAGATTGTCCTTCTGTTTGTTAGAGGTATTATTAAGAATCTTTCATGTTATTTGAATTACTGCTAAGAGCTAGTATTTCAAAACTAGCTCCCCTGTTGATGCCTGCATCAATGCTTTGTGTCAGGCAGTGAAATCCAAGGAGAGTACAACTTGAAAGAGAAACAGAAGTATTTTTTGCTGCTTTGAATCAGACTAATGTATTCTGATAACATTTCATGCTCAGAGAATGTTACTTGCAGATACAGGGAATGTGAAACACTACAAAGGTTAGAAGCATACTTGTGCTTGGACCTTTTTATTTACTTGGTGTACTTCTATGCAACTTCATGTACTGTATGGCTGCTTATCTGTGATACCTCTCAATTAACAGTAGGGCATGACTGGAAACAACCATCTTTTCAAATCTGAATACAGTGGAATTGGTGTATAGTACATGGAGATTTTATTGAATGTTTAAGTTACAGTAATAGAAGAGGATAAAATGAACTCTGTTTAACCTTGTTTGGCAGGCTTTAAACACGGAAAGAGCTGCTTCTCATGCAGTGGTTACCTATTTCCTATTCTTCTCTTTTAGTCTGAGAATTTTGCAAAGACACAGAGAAGTTGCATACTTACCTCCTGCTTACTTAGTCTGTGTGCTGATAAGTTTGTCAACTATCGTCAGGTGTAGTAAGCATTTTATGTACACATAAATGTTCATTCTCTGAGAAGACCAAAAAAATGCCTTTCCTTTTTAAATGAAAACACTTCATCTTTTTTAGTTGTGGAATTCTGTACAACGAATATGGGATATGCTTTGTCACATGTGACCAATTATAAGTGACATTCCTGTCCTAGGCAGTATTGACTTCAAGGAAACAGCAAGATGCTACATTTTCCAGCTGCTTATTCACTCCAGCTTTTCCTGGATGCCTCCCAGCTAACCAGTACAATCCCGTTATGAAGTTTGAATCCAAGGTTATGTAGCCCTAGAGCAGTTATCAAGCAGAAATATCTCAGAAACTAACTCATGGTAGAAAATGACAGTTTTGCCCACTGTAGGAGTGTGCAACAGCCTCTAGTACAGTTTTAAGTCAAGGAGAATACTGGTGTTAGACTAACGTCTTTCACAGGATCAACAGTGAATGACTAATACATACAGAACAGAGAAGTGCCTCTAGACATTGTGAAAAGGTTCAGAGTGCAATTGCCATAATGCTTGTTGAATTACCTTGTTGCCTGGAATGTTGTTATCCTTTTCCATGGAAAGGAGTTGCTCGGGAGAGGTGAGAAGCAACAAAATGGGAAATGCATGCAGTTTTGTTCTGAAGCTTCTCAATATTTAATGCTGTGCGAGTTCCTGGTGTAATTTTTTTTATCTGAGTAGGTGGCTTTGAGATGCATGGAGGGAAATATTTGATTTGAAGGCATCAGCAGAACGATTTACCAGTCTATACTGAAGCTGATCTGGTTCATCAAGTTACTCATAGTTGCAAGTAGAAAAGTAATGTTTCACTGAGAGATACTCGCTAATTTTCAAGTGGACAGTTCTCTCTGCTAATCCATTCTTTCCCTTTCAGGCTCTGACTTTATTGTGTCTAAGGGATTCTTCCTCATCTTAGAACTAGTATTTCTATTTTACACTTTATTCTTTCTACTTCTATTTAGGATTAGTCAGCACCAGGGCTAATTTAATTTCCTTGTGACTCTGATGTACAAATGACAATATGATGTAATTTGTAGAAGTAATTCAACAGTTGAAAATCTGTAGTCTTGAATGAAACTCCTCTGTAGGACCCTGAAGAATAGCTCAGGAGTTCTCTAGCAGCTTCTGAAGTATTAATGAAAACCCCTCTTTATTTCTTTTATTTTTCCATTCTGCATTTATATTCATTCTAATGGAGGTGAAACTTGCTTTGGAAGTAGGGTTACAAAATCAGTGCAGTTCAAACCAGATGAAAGATTCAAGTTAAAAACCAAACCAAACAAACAAAAAAACCCCCAACCCAGCTCCTCCCCTATTCTAGGGCATTGTAATAACGTATGTGAGACTGGAGAGTCAGAGACATTCTTGAAAGCAAGTGGTTTGGTTGACTGAATATCTCCTAGCAACTTAGGAAGCTTTAAATACAACTGATTAAAGACTGCCTGTGAAATACATTGTCAAGCCCAAAGCACCTCCAAAACCAGATGATGATTCTGTTCTTTAAAACACATCAGATAGTAAATATGTAACTCAATATTTTGTCAGCTACCAAAAAGAAATTTGTGTAAGACACAACACAGTATATAGAAAATTGAATTCCAAGTTCACGAACTGCAGACTGAAATAGCATGTCCGTGAGGTGGATTTTGGAGTTAATGCTGCATGCTTCTATTGAAGTGGTGCGCTGTTTTATCAAGAAGCTAAGCTTGACTTTCTGGTATTTCTTAGTACTTGCCATGAAGACAGGCTGAGGAAGTTGGGGCTGTTCAGCCTGGAGAAGAGAAGGCTGCGTGGAGACCTCATAGCAGCCTTCCAGTATCTGAAGGGGGCCTATAGGGATGCTGGAGAGGGACTCTTCATTAGGGACTGTAGTGATAGGACAAGGGGTAATGGGTTAAAACTTAAACAGGGGAAGTTTACATTGGATATAAGAAGGAAATTCTTTCCTGTTAGGGTGGTGAGGCACTGGAATGGGTTGCCCAGGGAGGTTGTGAATGCTCCATCCCTGGTAGTGTTCAAGACCAGGTTGGATGAGGCCTTGTGTGATATGATTTAGCATAAGGTGTCCCTGCCCCTGGCAGGGGGGTTGGAACTAGATGATCTTAAGGTCCTTTCCAACCTTAACGATTCTATGATTCTATGATTTGGTATACACGTCTGCCATGTGAACAAGACTATGACCTTGCTGGCATTTTATGTGGGGGTTTTTATCGGTTAGAGGAAAAATCAAGCCAAAAAATGGTAGTGTCAACAGAGAGAAGTAGGGGGGACTGCAGCTGCTTTTTCATATCTCAGTCAGCAGCTTAAGATGCTGTTTTCTTTCACTGTGTATGTTTGACTTTTCTCTGTACTTCTGCTTCACAGTCAGCCATTCACCCTATTTGAAACAAATGTGTAGGGCTTGAATATCCGGAAGTGAGTTGCCTTCTGTGTTTACTTTTGTGAAGTTACGTGCATTAAGTCTTTTTTTCTTTTTTTGCCTGCCCCATTTGTTTAATTGCAGGTCATTATGTATATATAAAAACTCTTGCGGGGGACAAAAAAAGACAAAATTCTTCTGGATGTGGTTTCACACAGGCCCATCTGTGTCACTGAAGTGGCCAGTGGAAAAACCAAGCTGCTGTGATGCACTTACAGAACACAGAGACAAACAGATTAAAACTAATTTATATTCCAGTTATCTTTATGTTTACTTGCAGTGTATTTTTTATCTTTTAAAAAGAATTATGCACTACTTAGTAAAATATAAAAACTAGCAAATTTATATATTTGAATATTCAGGATGGCTCATTTAATGCAGGAGTTAACATAAGCATCTAAAAGCATGGTTTGGGTATCCTATTTAAACATATTCCTCTGAAATTCCCTAATTCGTTCATCACTAGAAGATGGGAAGAGATAGCTGGGGAATAATTGTTTTTAGTTATCTGAATTATAAAGCCACTAGTCATTACACACTGTTTAGTTTGAGCAGTGTGATGGTTCAAATCAGTGACTCCTGGCAAACTCCAAACAAGCATTTTTGTTTGCAGTACTAGGGAACATTCAGAACTGTGAAAATTATTGTTGGGTTTGGGGGTGGAAGGGTTGGTTGCTTGTTTGTTTGGGTTGGAACTAGATGATCTTAAGGTCCTTTCCAAATCTAAGTATTCTATGATTCTATGATTTTTATTTTTGCTTTATCTTTCCTGTCTCTACTCACAGGTAACATCATGGTGCTGTGGTCAACTTGCAGAACATCAGTACTCAAGTCTGTAACAAACAGACTCATTAAGAATTTGGCCTGCTCGGGGATCTGTGCCAGCCTAGTCTGTGTGCCTTTTGACATTGCCCTTAGTGCCAGTCCACACTGTTGCTGGTGGATCTATACAATGCTCTTCTGCAGAATTGCCAAGTTTCTGCACAAAGTCTTCTGCTCAGTGACCATCCTTAGTTTTCCAGCCATTGCTCTTGACAGGTAAGAGAGAAAATTTGCCAGGATCCTTGATTTTTCTTTCTTATTTCTCCCTTTGAAACCCTTTTATATCTTTCATATTGATCTTTGAGTGCTTTTCTCACTGTGTGCAGCTTTTTTCTAGAACATATTGGCATATTTTTCTCTGTAACATCAGAACCCTTTATTTTTCAGTTTACTCTGATATCTCTGAACAATTATAAAGGACTTTTAGTCTATAGATTTGTCTTCAGAGAAGTTTTTATCCTTTCTTTCTTGTTTATAATTTTTGTTCAGTAATGGAACTTGAAAGCAGACAACTTCAGACTATAGGTAAGGTGCATTTTTAACTGTGGAAGTTGAAAGCAATTGCCTGTTAGAATAATTCACCAATGCCTGAGGTAGATTGCCTATCTATTTCAAATTTCAAATACAGATTTGTTTAAAAAAATCCCTCAGTATTAATATAATCGGAATTAATTCTGAGAGGTTTTGTATGTAGATCGGTCTAAATCAAAAGTGGCCCTTTGGATTGTCTAAGTTTTTGGATTCAGTTCAGTTTGCTTATTATTAGCAGTCACTTATTACACCTAAATGAACAGCTCTATCATCTTGTAAGTGACAGTAAGTAAGACATTTTTAAGGAAAGGTAGATACTGGTTTAATACAGTTTACATTACTGAACCAGTGCATTTATACATGTTAGATAAAATTATTGTTAGTCTGTTACTGTGTCTCACCACACGATACATTAGCTCTAACAAACTAAACGCTATACCTAAAAGTGGTATGTCTCTTACTTGAATGTTAATGCCTTGATAAATGCAGTATCACTCTCTGTAATGCATACCAGTGTTGGCACTGGAATAGCATATCATTTGCCCTTCATGAGTAAAACTTGCAATCTTACTCACAAAAAGCACAAAGCGCTTCTGCTTATAATGGTAAGTGTAAAAGGGTAGGTTTGTCACGAAAATTCTATGAGCTTAAAAGTCTACAGTAGTAAGCAAGCAATGAAGCAGTGTCTAAAATCTGAAGTGCATGTTTTAATGCACACAGAATGTTCAGTGTTGGACTGGTCTTTTGCTCAGGGCCTTGCCATACAGAGCTTCTGCAGAACAAAACTTCCAGTAGAGGGGTACGTGTAATTTGTGACCAAGAGCTTTTTCCAAATATCCAGAGGAAAAATTCTATCATAAAGCAGGTTTTCAAATTAACTATGAGTATGACCTTTCAATGCAACATGCCTATGCCTCCATCACATTTTCTGAGATTTTGTGCTGTGTGCAATATACTGTCCTGTTTACAAGTAAATAGTGAAAGCTTCAAACTAATGTTCAAATGCATCAGCTGAAGTGATACAGTTCCACTTACTGAAAGAATCGTTTGCCACCATAATGTGATCCTGAAGTTTGACTATTCACTTTTTTTCCACAGACAGGCCTGCAAAGGCATTCTCTTTTTGTTCTTTATTTTTTCCTCATAAGCCGGTAGTTATTTGGCAACCCAGTTAGGGTTTTGGGGCATTTTGCTCAGACAGCTCCTGAGAAGCTTCTCTTAAGCGTTATGTTCATTACAGATTTCACCTTTTGCATTGAATCAGTTGTAATTTTATTTTATTTTGGTTTTTGACAGGTACTACTCTGTTTTATACCCTCTGGAACGAAAAATATCTGATGCAAAATCCCGAGACCTGGTCATCTATATCTGGGCCCATGCAATAGTGGCCAGCATTCCAGTATTTGCTGTAACCAACGTGTCTGATATTTATGCCATGTCCACCTGTTCTGAATCTTGGAGTTACTCCCTTGGCCACCTGATATATGTCATCATCTATAACATCACCACAGTGATTGTACCAGTGGCTGTGGTATTTCTCTTTATGATTCTTATTCGCAGGGCACTGAGTGCCAGCCAGAAGAAAAAAGTCATCATAGCTGCATTAAGGACCCCTCAGAATACAATTTCTATACCTTACGCCTCCCAGCGAGAAGCTGAGCTTCATGCCATGCTGCTTTCCATGGTTATGATATTTATTTTCTGCAGTGTCCCCTATGTAACTTTGGTGATTTACCGCACCATACTCAATATTTCAGATATTTCAATCTTCTTGTTCCTCACTGCCATCTGGTTGCCCAAGGTCTCTTTGCTGGCCAATCCTTTATTATTTTTAACTGTGAACAAATCAGTACGAAAGTGCTTAGTGGGGACACTAGTACAGCTGCACCAAAGGTATAGCAGGAGAAATATTGTCAGTTCAGGTGGTTTTGCAGATGCTAATCTGGAGCCCAGTGTCCGTTCAGGAAGCCAGCTTCTGGAGATGTTTCATATCGGGCAACAACAAATCTTCAAGCCAGCAGAAGATGAGGAGAATGAGACCAAATCTGTTGGTGCTGGTGACTTGGAACAGAAGGAAATTCCTACCACCAGTTTAGAAGTAGGAGAGACTTTGGTTCACAAATTTATACCACAGACAATTGCAGACTCTACAGCTCAGGTGGCGCCGGCTGTGGTCACAGAAGCTGATACGGTAAATGACAAGTATTCCATGCAGTTTGGTTTTGGACCCTTTGAGCTGCCTCCCCAGTGGCTCTCAGAAAACCGAAACAGTAAGAAGCGACTCCTGCCTCCTTTGGGGAATACACCTGAAGAGCTAATCCAGACAAAACAGCCTAAATGTAAAGCAGAAAGAAAAATCAGCAGAAACAATAAAGTCAGTATGTTTCCCAAGGTAGATTCTTAGTAAGAGCAGAAGCTTTAAGTGACAGGGGAAGGTCACCTTCTGTTGTATGTGTGATCCCATGGATCTTATGCTGAAATTTGTTACAGGCTGATTTTTTTGTTTGCTCCAAATATAATTTAAACAAACAAAGGTAAAAAAACATACAAGTATTCCTTATTAATATGTTTTCATGAAAATAATATATCAAGAGATGGTGGTTTTTAGTTGTATCTGTGAAAACCCCACAATGATACCTGCCTGATTTACTTTCAAAAAGTACATATGGCTTTGGGAATGCTTTGTATGGCTGAAAAATGAAAATAGTGGCAGTTTGCTGGGAAGCCTCATGTTGTATTAAAATGGACTGTGTCAAAATAACTTCATAGGAAAGGCTGTAGGGAGCAGAAGACAGATGCAAAATGGGTAAGTCCTAACCTGCTGTAAATATACAAAGCAAGGTTCTGCACATCTCATCAATGAAGTAAGATGGACTATTAAGTAGATATGTTTTCTATTAAGCCCATTTCTTCAATCAGTGTTAAAACTCCCATGACTTTTTGCACAAATTAGTTACCAAGTATCTGTCTGCACTCTTTTTTTGGCCTAAAAAAAACCTTCCACACAGCCAAAAATACCCAAATAATCATGTGTCAAACCTGAGAAAGATTTTATTTATTTATTTTACTTTTTTTTTTTTTTTTTTTAAGAAAAGCATATAATCTTGTAGTTTTAAATAAAAACTGGATTGGAGACCATGCAGGACAAAATCCTGACTCCAGTAAACAAATATGCATGTGCCAAAGGCATAAATAAAACACTTTGATCCTGTGATAAAGGACATATACGAATGTCCCAACAGTGTAATGTATGTATTGTGTAGGTAACCAAACTGTCAGCCTTCATGTAGATCCATCTGCTGGTGCACTCTGCTGTTTTCTTACAGGAAGGCTAGTAATGAAAGAAACAGGTCAGAAGTGCTAGTAGCCTTATACGGAACTACTGAGTGAGGAAGCTGATATCAGACCCCAAAAAGCAAGGCTTATTAATGTTGTTGCTCACCACTGTCAGAGGCAAGGAGGTTTTTCTTCTATCTCCACAGATACAGATACCAACCCCACTTGTCTCACAGTGCAGATCACCCAGTGTATTAAAAAGAGACTTTCAAATCTGGTGCCCAATTCCTGAGTCCAGAGTCACGCCATCAGCACACCAGCTTTCTAGGAGAGTTCAGGCATGGTACTGTAGCTTGTCCCCCATCACCACAGCCATATTGTCTTGTTTATGCTGAATGTGAATTTTAAACTGTATCAGTCTGCTGATAGATGACCTGAAATTGTTGTATCCCTGGCATTTTAACCCTTGTTCAGTTGCGAGTAGTCTTTCCTTCTTATCTGCGTTTGCTGTTGTGTCTCTGAGTAGTTTCTTAAAAGCACAATCTAGTAACGTCCTTGTGGTTATCCTGTAATTTAGCCCCTTGGTGCATGCCGACCCTTTATCTGTAGTTACTGTCTGTTTATGAAAGTAGTTTTCTTTAAAGCATACTTTTAAAAGGACAAAGTGAAAAATCTTGCCAAGTTCACAGTAACTTAGTAAATACAACCTGTCATTGTTAAAAGTGAGAAAAAATTCTGCTGAAGCAGGATTTGGAGAAGTACCTGTTCTTCCTTTGGTTTGAAGAAAGCAGCTTCTGATGTCTCCAAGGTGATGGATTTCTACAAGGTATTAAAAGCAAAAGTTTTAATAAAATTGTATTTAAAGAAAAAATTATAAATTACTGTGTAAATGATGTTTTCCCTTCATTTCCTCTGTTTTCAGTGCACTTCACTTCTTGCTAGAACTTCTCATCTTGGGAGTGAGGAGCAGTCTTCAGTGGGCCCAGATGGGTGGTGGGCATCCCAGCTGCCCTTCTTCATAGATACAGAGAAGGCAGACATAACTTGCCTGAAATCAGGCAGAAGAAATATTCAAGGAAAAGGTGTTCCTTCTGTGGCGAAGGTAGAGAAAGTAGCATAGCAGACATATTTTAAGTGTTAAAAAGTTATTTAATGGAGTGTTTGTTCTGCCAAAGTATAGTGAAAAAACAGATGCCATTCAAAAAAATCCCCAAACCCTCAAAAGTAGACTAGGAGTTGTCAGATCTGAACTGCTTTGAAGAAAGCAAACTTAGTTTTCTCCTTTTCAGCTCCCAGTGGTGAATGAGAAATGCCAGTGATAAATTCAGAGCGTAACAGCATAGAAGTTACTTTTATCCTATCTGGAAAGGAAGGAGTTCGTGGTGGTTTTTGACTGCTGAGCCAGAAATACCTTTTTCTTTCAAAGAAGACATGTAAAAAAGTCATGGTTTTTTTGTGGGTTTTTTTTTGGTTAGTTGGTTTTCTTGGGTGGGTTTCTTTTTTTTTCTTTATTTTTAGCAAATTGTATCTGAAGACATCGAAACCTTTTGAAAAAAACTAAAGTGGTTTTCCATACCTGAAAAACTATTTGGGAATACTTTTAGTCCCTCTTTCAACAGTTTATCAATATGAATGTTAAAGGGAAGTATAAAAAAACAAAAAACCACAAAAGCACATCTTTGCATAAAAAAAAGAAAGCTGTGTAAAATTCATAATAAATCCTCTGTGCTAGAATTCTCATAGAAGACAGTCATTCAGGAGACTTTTTCTGCAAGATGGAATATTTGACTTGCAGAGTTTGATTTTTTTAACTTTATCCAAGACTGTGGCAAATAGAAGCATTCCTACTGTCTGTTGGCTTTTTGTTCTAATGATTTCTACTGGCAAAATGTTCTCCAGCATCCAATATGAAAACAATCAAAACAAAATTGTTTTCTTCTTTATCATCACATTAAAGATAAGCAAAAGTGAGTTACTGTAAAAGCTGGTCAGAGGAACTCTCTAAGACTCAATTTGGAGTTTTTGAAAGCAGGAGTTCTTTGTTGCAGTGCTGGGCTCACAAGCAAACAGTTTCACAAAGGTGAGAGCACCCAATACTTGCCAGCAGCAACTATATATTTAGCATACTCATGCATATTCATAGCTTTCCCAGGAACTAATTATAATATTTGCATTCTAATTATGCATGCGCTTTCTTGGTGGTCACCGATAGTCTTTCTCACTGTGTTACTGTATGACCTCAGTGCTTGCTCATGCTCGCAAGGTCCTAGCGCTAAGTTAGCAATTGGTATGTCCTTACCTCTGTTCCAGTCTTGCTCCACATTGGGTGCCAATACTCTGCTATCTTGAAGGCTGGCATCTGTGGTCTTATTTATTGTCTCCTAAGTTGTTATCAGTCCTATGATGTTCCTTTCCCCATCAGCCAAATGTTCGTTCTCTCTACATGTTAGCAAGTTAGAACAGTTGTATTTTACTATGTTAGTTTAAAGCCACACATGCTATTGTTAGTTTAAACCTATGATTTAAGCCTACAGTGGGAATTGAAGAAATGAAAGCCTGGGGTAGTTTGGCCTATTCAAATAGGTTTGCACAGGTTAAGTCTGATTACTGGAGAATAAATTTGGAGAAAGAAAAGTTAAACCTCTTGGAAGTTTTACCATTGACTCTGGACTTAGCATTTTGGTTTAGCCTTTTCTCCTCAGCTGAGAGGTGACTATGCTGTATTAGATGGAGCACAACTGGAAAAGCTGGAATATGGCTCAAAATTCCTGGCTTTTTGCCCTTGACTTTGGACACTCCAAAAAAAGGATATTAATATATAATCTATTTGTTCTTTGCAATAATAGGGTCTGTTTATTCCCCTAACATTTAGGGAATTAATATAACGAAAATTAGCTGTGCTTGTCCTGACCCAAGTATTAGAACTGTGTTACAGTCTGCTTTAAAAATGTTGCCTGTGGTAAACAAAAGTTACTTCAGGTGAATATGCAAAGTATTAAAAATATCAAAGACAAATAACTAATATGCATTAAACAATAATTGATAATTTGCCCTCCAAACTGTGTGAGACAATGGAAGTGTTTTGGGTACCTGTTTGTGTTTTAAAACACTTCAACAGAGGGGTATGAAGATAAGCAGTAGTAACAGAACAAGTTCCCTATATTTCTACCCCCCTGCCTCATTTGTGTTTCTTCACTGGATTAGGGAGAGAAGGATAAATGAATTCTGTTACTATGGTGACTGTGTTCTAACTATCAAGTCAGCTGGTCTAAATGTGTCTTCATCACGTTGTAACCTATCTTTCAGGGTGAAAAGCGCATCTTGGAGTGCTTTTCTTGCTGTGCCTTTCAGAGAGACAAAGTTTTCTTCAATTACACTTTTTTTCTTTTTAAATCATCATACTTCAGAGAAGTATCTAGTTTATTCTGGAACAAAACTGATTTATTCCCAGAAAGGCAAAAAAGGAAATCACAACCTTTGTTCTGCTTTTCTACTTCAAACTTCATTAAAAACACACCTGTAAACAATTTGAGATCCTGTAATATTTAATAAGGTTTACAAAGTTCAGTCCTCTTACTGGAGGTAAAGACTAATGGCCCAATTTGCAGGATTTGAGATGAACTCTATGAACCTTCTCTTCTCCTTTCTGGGTCTTCTAAGGCACATAAAAACAACTATGTTTTGAAATATCCCTGCTGAAAAGCTGTTATTATTAACTCTTGGGTGTGACAGCCTCATTGAAAACATTGCCTGATTCCCTGAGGACAAGCAGCAGTAAGTAGGCTATTCCTACACCACTTCCAAAGGAGCTTTACATCAGTTTGTTTCCACATGGCAGAGCTGGTCCCTCTGCAATCATGGGCCCTTCTGAGGTGCTAGGCAGTCTAACATGGGTAGCAAGTCAAACTCTTGACAGCTGCTAGGCATATACACTCTACTGTAGAAAGAAATAAATATTGGGGTAGTTATACCTAGCTACTTTCCATACCTCATTATTCATAGCCAATATCATAACCTAATGCATCAAACGCCAGATTTTAGTTTAGTTGGTTCTGTATTGTCCATTCTACTGCTTTCTTATTGTCACTGGATACTGAACGTGTGGATGTAAACATTCAGTCTTCTGAAGCATCAACTATCTCCTGTCTGTGCAGCACCTCCATTGACAAAGCACTGTGCACCTTCCTGCAGCACAGAATGGGCCATGGCTAGAGAAAGACTCAGGGATTACTTGGCCCACTGAGGCCAAGATGGTTTTGAGTGTATAGTATCCCACAAAGAACTGTTGTGGTTTAAGCCCAGCCAGCAGCCCAGAAGCATGCAGCCACTCGCTCACTCCCCGCCTTTCCTCCCCGTGCTCACGGAGGGATGGGGAGGAGAATCAAAAGAATGTAACTACCACGGGTTGAAATAAGAACAGTCCAGTAACTAAGGTATAACACAAACCACTGCTGCTACCACCAGTAATAATAATGATAAGGGAAATAACAAGGGAAGAGAATACAACTGCTCACCACCCGCTCAGCCTGACCCCAGCAATCTAGCCGTTCCAGGTAACTGCCCCCAGCTTATATACTGGGCATGATGTTCTGTGGTATGGAATACCTCTTTGGCTAGTTTGGGTCCGGCGTCCTGTCTTGGCTTCCTCCTGGCTGCCCCTCGTCCCTGGCAGAGCATGAGACTCACAAAGTCCTTGGTCAGAGTAAACATTACTGAGCAACAACTAAAACCATTGGTGTTATCAGCGTTGTTCCCAGGCTGAAAGTCAAAAGCACAGCAC